AAAGCTTGGGGGGGGGGAGCTTTAACTCATTAAAAAAAAAAAAAAAGGATACCTTACAGGGGACTTTCAAGCGGCCGCCCCCTGAAAGCAAGGGGCCCAGGTGGACCTAAATGTCAGGGGTGAGGAGGACATAGCCATGGACACCCAAAAAGACTGCCATTTTGGAAACAGGGTGCAGACGGAGGGGGCTTCTCTTCTGTCACCGTGGGCCACCCCTAAGAGTTGGGTTTGGGGGGCCTTGGAAGTCAGCAGGACCAGCTCAGCCGCTTAGCGATCCAGAAAGCACCTGGGTGGGCAGGAGGGAGGGGCAGCAGGTGCTGGGAGCCTCTCAGTCAGGCCCTCCCTTGCCTCCTAGATTGGTCCCCACGTTAATGATTGTTTTATTACTGTTTTCAGTCAGCTATAATTCCAGCATTTTCTATCATCTTGATCTTTTCATTGATAGCAGCAGCTTCTCCTTTTTTTTTCTTCTTACAAAGCGCTGTATGTAGCATGATTATGCGCCCACCAGCATGCCATCCCCGCAATTAGAGCGATCCAGACGCAGTTCTCCGCACTCCGCCCGCATCCCTCCGTTTAGCGCTTTTGAAAAAGCGTTTTGTGATTTTTTTTTTAATGCGGGGGGGCGCGCGCGGGGTGCAATGTGTTTACAAATCCAGCAACAATCCTCATTTTAGAGTTACAAAACACGCAGCCATCTAGAACCCCGACAGATGGCGGCTCAATGAAGTTTAATTAAAGGAGGAGGGCTCGGAATCAAATCCCAGGAAAGAGCGCGGCGGCTGGGGGCCCGGCGCGCCTGCAGAAGTAGCATCTGCACGCCCGCGGCCCGGGCCCGGCCCTCCCCGCGCTGCACCGCGGGCGCCTGTCTCGGGAGCAGCGGACCCAGGTCCGGCCGCGGGGCAGGTGGCGCCGGTTTCCCGCGCCGCGCACGCTCCCCAGGTGCAGGTGTGCCGCTGGGCGGGGCCGAGGCTGCACCCCGCACCCCTGTGGCTGCCGCAGAGGGGGGCAGGGGACTGGAGCAGGGAGCGCGAGGGGACCGAATGGGAGTGGCCTCGAACCTTGGGCCGGTGACCCGACCTGATCTCCTGATCTCCCAGGGAGGATGGATTATCGGGAGGGAGCTCAGCCGGGTGTCCTGGATGTGCACTGAGCCCCGGTCACCCGGTGCTGCTCCCAGGTCCTCACCGAAGCGTTTGCACGTAGGAAGAAAGACGTGGCAAGCTACTTCCAAAGGATCCCAGCCACGGAATCGAGGCGGGGCAGCGGACGGGCACCGCGTGGCCCAGAGTCCGAATTGATTGATTGTTGGCCCCTGGGTTTGGTTTCTACATTGTCAGTCGTCCAGAAGGGAAAGGACTTGGCCGTGGCAGTGGGGTTGCGATGTGGGAGTTGAGGTTCTGGGTGAGGGGTGGCACCGGCATGTAGGGGAATTTTTTGGGGGGTGGGAGGCATGCTGCATGGGTGGTTTCTGGCTTGTTTCCAAGAGGCTGAAAGGTCCCAGTGTGAGAAGCTCAGGACTGCTAACCCAGGTTGTGGATCTGGAAGTCAGTGGACCCTGGTTCACATCTCTTGCTTTTAAGGTTGCCCAGTCCTTGGCCATTTAGGACTAGTGATTCAGGGCCTTCTCTCAGCTCTGGGCCTCCCTGACCCTCCACTTCCCCAGCACCCATCAAACTCATTACAAGCCCTTGGGCTCCCCACAACCCTTCTCAACACCTGGCCCAGGTGGCTTTCCCTCCAGGTTACTCCCCCCTGCTTCCCCGACCTCCAGCGAGGTGAGAGTGCTCCCTCCCCGGGAGCAGATGCAGACTCGGCCCCAACCCAGGGTGCTCACCGGGCAAGCAGAACCCAGCCTGAATTTCTGCCCCACCCCCTGAATCTAGCACCCTGAGACTTGTTCCTGGGACCACCAAGTCCTCAATCTTCCCTCCCCACCTTCCTGCAGGGCGCTCTCCTCCCAGGACACCGCCCCAGCCGCCTCACCCCTTCCCTTTGGTCTGGCTAGCCCCTAAAGTGCTAACATCTCCACCAGACCTGTCTTCCTAGTCTTGTCTGGCAGCTCGGCTGAAACCTGTTTTGCAACAAACAGAGCAACAAGACAGCCTCCACTGACAGGCAGGGGGTGACTGCACATGAAGTGAGAATTCTGCCATTGACCCACAAACGTCCTCTACGGTGGCCTGGGAGCAGGGACCGACTGAGTGTCAGGTACAGACACCGTTTGCTTTTTCTTACTGTCCCCTTCTTGCCGAGTTCCACCTGGACGGCTTTTTCTGAAACAGCTCTTGGCTTATCAAATACCCCCACCACTCCAGGACCACCCAAAGGCCTTGCCCTGGCCCCATGTTGTTGCTCCTCCTCACTCTAGGGGATGCCTGATGTCACACCGAATACTCTAGACTTCCCCAGAGTGACTGGGGCCAGCGTAGCCCTCGCTACCCCACCACGAGCCCCTGGATGCCCCCAGAGCTGTGAGCAGCCCCTTCTGTCTCTGCCTGCCCTGGCTTAGTCCCAAGAGAGGAGGACGAGAGGGGCCGTCTCTCCACAAAATGAGCCCTGGCTAAGGGCTCGCAGCTGGCACGGAGCAGGCCTGGGGCACCAGCTGCTGCCTTCAGCGATTGCGACCTAACACTGCCTTCCGTGGCTCCTCCTCCTGAGGTCATGAGTTCCAGCAGCAAGGTCATGAGTGGGAGCTGCACCCAGACACCAGGGCCCAGTGGCCAGGGACACCAGAGCCGTGGCAGGCCACTGCCTTGGGTTCCCCTTGACCCCTCATCCCCAGGGACAGCTGTAGCCACCACTCCAAGAGAATCCAAGACAGGTAAGAGCCGAGGCAACAGCATTTTTTTTTCTTTTTACTTATTTAAAAAGGCCGTGGCGGCAGGAATATAGTGTAAAAATCATTGGAAAAACTAAAAGGCATCGATACATATCCGAATATACATTTTGTACATAAATTACATTTTCCTGTAATCTTTCTGGGATGAGGTCTTGATTCAGCGCTGAGGTCTAGTAATTGAGGGGTCCCGGGAGCTGCACGTTCAGCCCGGTGTAGTCCACCATGTACATTGGCCATTGCTGGAGAGAGGACAAGAGAAGGCCCGGTGAGGTGGGCAGCCCGGCCTCCTGCTTCTGTGGGGCTTCGGCAGATGCTTGTTTGGGGGGCTGGCTCCTGAGTCCCAGGGGGAGGCTGGGCTCTGGGAGGCCGTCCCCACGGCTCACCGCTGGCTTTGGGCCTGGGCTGGAGCCCTCTGACCTGGCCCACCTGTGTCCCAGCCCTGATGGCCAAGGGGAAGAGGGGGTTGACTCAGCCCCCTTCCAGGCCACAGGAGGCTGTCAGCCCTTGGGGGTGGGAGCAGCTGGTGACCCTCTGTGAGTACTTGCCCACCAGGGATAACAGGGGTCTCTGGGGAAGTGAGATGAAGGCACAATCTCCGTGCTGGGGTTCTGCACGAGGGCTCCCAGAAACCCACGGGCAGAAGGCAGAGAGATCCTAAAACCAGTTCCAAAAGTGTCCAAAGAGTCTCCTTTGGGCTCAGGCTTTCCAAGTGGATGGTCGATGACACGGAGTGTGTGTGTGTGTGTGTGTGCGTGCATCCCAGTCCCATCTTGAGCGGAAGGGACCCAAACCCAACAACAGGGCCCTGTAGGTGGGGGGGTCTCATCTCCACAGATGAGGCGTCCAGGCTGAGAGCAGGGCGGAACCCGACCCCTGACTCCCACCCTCCTCTGCCCTTCCCAGGGGCTGTCTGTATCGGTGTCCGGCCTCGAGCCACTAGGACGGGTTACGTGGGTAGGACAGGCAGGTGTGTGGGGGATCCCCAGGGTGCGGGGACACAAGGCATGTCCGGGAGGCGCCTGGGCAACGTTACCACGAGTGAAATCTGGTTGGTCGATGCCACAGACTCTGGGTTGGAGGAGGAGGAGGAGGACGAGGAGGAGGACGACGAGACGGAGTTCCCTTCAGAGACCCGCTTCCTCTTGCGCTTGGGCATGCTGCTGTCTTTGGCTGGTGGGGGACAAAGGAAAGGGGTGCTGACACCGGGGGAGGGGATCATCCTGGCTCTGTCTCTCAGCACCTCTGGAAGAGGCTCTGGGGAGGTCTCTGGACTGTCAAATGGCGTCCCTTAACTCCGGACAGAAGGGCAGCAGAAGCCCTGCACACACGGGGCCGCCACCCGACGGCAACCGGGGTGGGTTTGTTTGGGGCCCAGTGCCCCACACTGCCAACCCCAAGGCTGGCCAGGCCCTCTCCTTGCCACAGCTTTATGCCCTTGGCCCCCCTCCAGGTCCCTCTGTGCCACCACGCCGACGCTCAGGCGGTCAGCCTGCATCTGTGAAGGGGACACCTCCACCCCCCAGGCAGGTCTCTCACCAACAGGCTCCGTTCCAGCCCCAAACCTCAACACCGAGCCAACACTCACGGCACACCCCGGGGTGCTCGGGGGCCGTTTTCCTACCAGACCTCTCATCTGAGGCGTGTCTGTTTTCCTAACGTGTATGTTCCCCAGACCGCCCAGCCTGTGGAGAAGTCCGGCTGCACCCCCCACCCCCACCTCCACCCCCCACTGCCACAAACTCTCTAGAGCCCCTCTGGGCAGCCCCGCCCAGAGCTTCTGGGCTTGAGACTTGGGGAAAGCCGCTCAGTGGCCCCGGGTCTTCCTTTCCCTGGGTAACTGGGCAGTGCGAGTGGTTGGTTCAGTGGGGGCCCAGTTCCCGCCTTCCAGGTAGGAGACCCGGGGCAAGTCCAGCCAACACACTGCCTGTCCATCAGGGAGGCCTGCCTGCTGCCAGGAGGCTGTTGCTCGGAGCTCCTGGACCGAGACAGACTAGGAAGAAAGGCCTGGCCATCTGAAATCAGTCCCTGGAAATCCTGGGGGTCACCACTGAGCCCGGATGGCACAGGGCTGGGCAGCATTTTCTTCTGCTGTGCACTGAGGGGGGTGGTGCGGGGGGCTAGCAGCACCCCAGAGAGCCCGAGTGAGGTGCTCAGCACAGCCCAGGCGGCTGGGAAATCTCAGAATGTGAGAAGCGGGCTGGGCGCTGCTGTCTGGTGGTGGTGTTGGTCGGGAGGCGGGGGGATCTACTGCGTGCTGGCCCCCCTCGGCCGATGCCGATTCCACAGCAGCTCCCGCAGGTTTGGTACCAAGGGACAGGGCCACAGACAGCTCAGCTCACGCCCAAGTCCCACTGCCGCTGCCCGCCAGCTCCATGGCACCCTGGGGACTCACTGGCTTCGGGTGGGACACAGGTGGGATGAGGTGTTGAAGGAGGCCAGGTCCAAGCCCGGCAGGAGGGAGCAAGGCCCAGCAGGTGCTTTGCTGAATGAGTCTGATGTGAGGGCCTGTCTGGGCCAGAGGGCAGTTAACACAGGCACCTAACACAGCTGGTCAGTGGTGGCACTGTAAGGTCAGAGTTACACAGCCAACCACTGGGTCTGAGGCTGTCAGCCTTGGTACAGAATCGACTCGGGGCGGTGGGTGGGTGGTAAAAACATCTACAACGATGGAACATGTGCCGATTCAATGCTTTTCACATGGGGCATCTGGTGATGCCATGTCGTGCGGCCATCAACCCACGTGGCGGCCCCGTATCACAGAGCAGAACCGCTCCGGGGCATGGGGTCCGTGCCAACTGGGGGCCACCCATAGAGCAGCCCCTGTGCATTTCCAAGACTGTAGGTGCCTGGCCTGTGGCTTGAAGGCAGCAGGCTCTGGTGGCCTCCCGGGCCTCCGACTCACCTGGCACCTTCGCGTCATTGCAGAGTTCTGCGAAAGGTCTGAAAGAGAGAGACAGGAGGCAGCAGTGAGCGAACAACCTTGCCTGCCTTGCCACCCGCTCCCTGAACACTCCCCACAAGATCCCGCCGCTGCCGCTGGGTCATTGGCCATGCGAGAGCCGGGCGAGAGCAGCGGGCACCCCTCTAGGCCCAGGGGGGTTGCCCATCACGGGCCGGGTGGGGACAGGACCGTGCTAGGCAAATCGCTCCTCGGGCTCCGTTTCCTCATCTATGGGGAGGGGAGGGGGCATCCAAGGGCTCGCAGAGCAATCCCACGAGCTTTTCATCCCATTTTTCCGCGTGCTTTTTGACGCCCCCGCATACGAGGGTGGGCAGTTGGTCTTGTAACCTTCCATTGGTATTTTCCTCGTAACAGGTTTTAATAGTGACAGCAAAAACCAGAGGCAGCCACCTGGTCCACCGACAGAGAGCACCAGTGTCCATCTGGAAGACACAGGCTGGGCCCACGCATGGAAACGGATTTCTGCACACGGGGCACGGCTCCAGGCCGTGGGGAGCCAAGGGAGAGGCAGCCAGACAGGAAACATGACACTCTGATGTCCTCTGTCCACAGACAGATAGCCTATGATTGCTTTCAAAAGCAGTGCGTCCATGTGCACACACACGTGCACAACACAGGCACATACAGGCGAGACATTTAAGAAAAAGTGAAGCCACGGAGGGGAAGTTTGAGAATTCCCTCCGTGGTTCTCCCCGGGGAACTGGAATCCCCTTCCTGGTTTCCTGCATGCGCCAGTCGTTCCTTCTCTGGAGCTGGCACTAGTGAGGGGGCGACGGCGGAGAAGAAATGTCAGCTTTTCACTTTAACTGTGTCTGAAGACGATGATGTATGTATTTGCTTTGCCGCCTACTAATAGTATTTTCGTCGGACCGCATTGACCCGCCTCGCGGGAACGAAAACAGAAGCAACGTGAACGGGGGTGCACCACGGTCGCCCCAGGAGGGGCGGGTCCTGAGTCACGTGGGCCATTTCTCCTGCCCGGTTGCGGGGTGCCTTCCACGTTTGCTGTGGGTACATGTTCTGTTTCGACAGTTTTTTGGCACTTCACCCACGCAGCATATAATCCCATAGCTCAGCCATAACCAGATGGATTGTACAGTCGTGATGACCGTCAATGTTAGAATATTTTTTTTTCATTTTACTTTACTTTTTATTTTATGATTAGTTTACGTTAGAATATTTTCTTCTTCTTTGTACTCCGTGCTATTCGGGTAATTACGATGATTTGTTAATTGTGGCAAAAATATGCACAACAAAACATTCTCCAATTCAACAACTTCCATGTGTACAGAGCGGGGCCACTAATGTGGGTATTTTGGGTTTTTCACCAGAAAAGAGTCCCACTGTTCCCGTATTGGCTTTTAGTGACGGGCAGGCGCGCAGTCACACTGGATCCCGGGGGACGAGGCGGATTACTGCTGCCTGCTATGAGGAGCTTCAGAGAATTTGTGGAAGAATTCAAGTTTTCCTAAGCAAACTGCTTGAAGCTCCCTCCCCACCCCCTGCCCACATGGTATTTTCTAACCATGGGGAAATGGGCATCCGTGAGCGAGACAGCTGGAAGGTTGAGTTCAATTACAGCGCGGAAAAGACGGAGCGCTATGGACGCCGGGCTGTGGTTCCGGCAGCAGGGCCCTGCCTTTGGCATTAGGGGTCTGGGGGACTCGAGGCGGCCCTCCCTCTCTGACTGGGTGCTGGCTTCCTTCGTCAGCAATAAGACAAGGGTGTTCAGCGGGGCATCTCCCGGGTTCTGTGTAAGTCAAGGGGTGCTCTGGAGGGGCCTGCTGTGGGGTCCCCCGTCCACCCTGCCCGAGGCCGGCCCACTCACTGGAGCTGGTTGATGATGACCATGCGGACGTGTTCTCGGGCCTTGAGGATCTTCTCCAGCCGGTGGATGTCGTACGTGTTGGGGTTCCGGAAAGGGATGTCGTCGGGCAGGCCCGTGACCTCGACAGCATCCGGGCTGTCCCGGATCAGCTTGTAAGGGACCAGCACAGGCCGGTTCAGGCCCAGGGCCTCACCTGGGGGGTGGGGGTGGGGGGTGAACAGGTGATCAGGAGGATGGGCACAAGGGTGGACACTTGGCAAGCCCCAGAGCGGCCATCATACCCCAGAGAGAAAGCAGTGAACAACCAGCACACAGACTCCACTTCTTAATCCTTGAGAAAAACCCAGGGGAGAAAGGGGAGCCAATCACAATGATCTACACAGAACCTGCTGCCAGGGGGAGGCCACAGAGAGGGGGGTACAGGGAGACATCAGGCAGTGTAAGACATGGGGAAAACAGTGGGAGAGGGGGAGAAATGATCTGACGCCAAGGGCTCAAGTCAAGGGAAAGTGTTTTGACTGATGATGGCAACCTATGTACAAATGTGCTGGACACAATGGATGATGTGTGGATTGTGATAAGAGCCATACGAGCCACCAAGAAAATGATTAAAAAATAAAATTAAAATAGCTGACACCTTTACAAAAATTAAAAAACCCTCAGAACCACCCTCGCTGCCACTGAGGCGATTCTGACTCACAGCGACCCTGCAGGACAGAGCAGAACTTGCTCCCGGGGGTGTCTGAGACTGTGAATCTTTACAGGCGCAGACAGCCTCTGCTTTCTCCTGAGGAGCAGCTGGTGGGTTTGAACCGGTGGTTAGCAGCCCAATGCAGGAGTCACCCTTAGTACAACTGCAAACATAATGCCCATGCCGGCTCCCTTTCCTGTTGGGCACAACGGCTGTAAGGCATGCACCCCTCGGACTGAGACGCTGACAGTCACCACGGGGATGGGGAGCAGAGTTGGATGAACCCATGCAGAGACCGGCTCCCCAGCGTTTCCCAGGCTGGGGCCTTTAGAAGGCAGAGGTCCAGGCCTGTCTCTCAACGTGCCCGGAGGTGGGTGACAACTGCAGGCCTTCCCGGCTTGCCGTCAGTTGATTGAGTCATAAGGGCAGAACTGCCCCTGTGGGTTTCCGAGACTGGAACTCTTTATGGGAGTAGAAAGCCTCATCTTTCTTAAGAGTAGCTGGTGGTTTCGAACTGCTGGCCTTACAGTTAGCAGCTGAAGGAATAACCTCCATGCTCCTGTACACCCAGGACTCCTAAAAACTCTGTACTGAAGGACTTATAGGTACAATAGGTTATCTTAAATTTGCTTGAAGAAAAAAAATTTTTTTAAAGGGTATGGATTTGGGAATAGATTAAATAAGACTGGCCAAATTATACAAGCTGGGGTTTTGGTTATAAGGTAGTTCATTGTGTCATTCTACATTTACACATGCTTGAAAATGACTAGCAGCATCAAAAGGAAAACTAGCCAGCCCGAGGCCCCGCCCCTCGCACTGACCGTATTTCTCATTGAAGAGCTCCTTCACTTGCTCCCGCAGGATCACTTTCTCCCCCAGTCTGTTGGCATCATCTTCATCTGCAAGAAGGTGAGGGCATGGCTCTGCCAATAGTCCTGCTGTCCCGTCCCATCACCCCCTGAGCCTGCCTGCTGTCCATCGGCCTACCTCCTGAAGGCTTCCCCAGGTCAGGCCCGTGTCAGCACAGCACCTCCCTGGAACACACAGCCTACTGGGGCAGCACAGACCGTATATACCTGAGTATAAGCTGACCCGAATATCAGCCTCACTTTACCGCAAAAACGGCATTAAAAACGTGCTGAAAAACTCGGCTGATACGGTAATCACGGTGCCCGCCCAGAAGTGGGGCAGGATGCTATGCCAGCCGGGGCATTAAAGGTGAAAGGTCACTGAAGGGTGGCTGTGGCCAGGGCAGGGGCAGGGGGGGCCGGGCTGTGGAGAGTTCAGCCTTGCAGACCAGCGTGTGTGAACCCAGGGACAGGCTGCATCCCGGGCCTGATGCCTGGGCTTCCTCTGCATACACACATATGGCCTCAGGGCTGCCCACCCCCTGCCTGCAGGTCTAGCCACCTGACCCTGCAGCCGTAGCCTCTCACAGCTGTGTTCCCTGGCTGCTGAAGGTTGGCGTTGGGCGTGGGGGGACTTGCAGTCCACCCTGGCTGGCCCTCTAAGGACCCCCAGCAGGAAGCCCAGGGCAGACAGAATGAGCCTTAGAAAAAGAACTCCCACTTTAATCTTGAGAAGCTTCTGCAGAAATCTCTCCCTCTTAGGAGGCTACCTTGGGGAACTGCACACCTGCTGGATCCACCCTGCAGCCCACCTGTCTGCTGAGCCACCCTTTCACAGGGGTCACCCAATTCAGAACAGTAGCAAAATGACAGTGATGAAGTAGCAACGAAAACAATTTTATGGTTGGGGGTCACCGCCACATGAGGCACTGTATGAAAGGGTCACGGCGTGAAAAGGTGGAGAACCGCTGCTCTAGAAGGAAGTGAACCGGTGGCCTCAGGCGCTGTGACACCATAGACGCTTGTCACCAAAGTAAAAGGTAAAACGGATGATCTCGGTTTAGGCGAGATGATACATGGGGACGTTTTAAAAACCACTGATTACATAGCGGGAACCGGCATTCACCCCCTCAGACTTCCCGACCACCTTTCTTCCCGTACTGCTTCTTTATGGGTTATGCATTGAGTGCATATCGGCAAGGGCAGCGGTTCAAACCCACCAGCGACTCTGAGGGGAGAAAGAGGAGGCCTGCCCCCGTAAAAAGTCAGTTTCAGGGGCCCACAGGGACAGTCATGCTGTGAGTCGGCACTGATTCCAGGACGGCGGGGCTTGGCTGTGTGGACAGCTGAAACACAAAGCCAAGCTCACTGCTATGGGGGGATGCCAACTCCTAGAAGCCCTTCAAGACCGAGCAGACCCGCCCCTGTGAGCGTCCGAGCTGTCACTGGACGAGAGCAGAGCGGCCGGTCATTCAGAACTGCCGTCTTTGCAGCGGGCAGCGCAGCACGTAAGGACTGTGCCACCAGGGGTGCTCACGGAGACAACTTTGAGACAACAGAGTGAGCCAGTAGATGTACGGCTGGAAAGTCCAAATCAGGTGTCGGCGATGCTGCTCCCTCCCGAGGGTGCCAGGGTCCTCTGGTGGCTGGCTGCCGTCCTCGGCTGGTAGATGTGATGTACCCTCCAGCCTCTGCCTCCGTCATCACCAGGGTAAGCTCCCTCTGTCTTGCGTCTCAGGACACCGGTCAAGGTAAGGCACCCTGTTCCTCATGCTAAGGCCAGAGATTCTCTCCTAGGAAGAACCAAGCCAGGCTGCACTGGGGCACCGGTGATCCAGCCGCAGGAATTGGGCCTTCTTTGGGGGAGCCCCAGCTTTAAGACATGGCCATCACCTCTCAACAGCCACCACCTGTCTGTGGGTGACGGCTTGCGGGCCACTAGGATGCCGAACAGGTTTCAGCGAAGCTTCCAGGCTTAGACATTTAGTTGAGTAAGAAAGACCGGGTGATCTACTTCCAAAAATCTGGCAATGATAGCCCCACCAAAATACAAGCATTGAGAGCTGGTGAGCCACCATCATGGGGAGCGGGAGGGGCTGGGCAGCGGGCTGGTCCATTGAGCACGTGGTCACCATAAATCAGGGACTGACTTGGCAGCTATGGCCACCCAGCACAGTGACGTTTACCGGTACTGAGGGTCTGCATTTGAAGAACTGCATCCTGACCCATTCCTGATCCTGAGCTGTAGCCTGTTACTCCCCGAAACCACAGGCGGTGTGTCCGCCAACAGACAGCCACAAAATGTGGTCACGAAGCCCTGCTCCGTGCCAACATGGCACGGCCGCACCAGGAAAACCCCACACTGCGCAGCAGTCACCGAAAAGCGGATCCTGGGTGACCTCAGACGTAGCTGCAGGGAGCGTGGAGGTGAGAGGGTGATGGGAGCTGGGAGGCGGGAGGGAGCCCCTGTCGTGGCCAACTCGGTGCGGGATACACGATATCACCCGTGTGATGGGTGCCGGGGAGTTACAGGGGAAAGCCATACAGGATTGGCAAGTGTCGTGTTAAGGTACTTTACAGTCATCATTTTAAAAACCTGAGGACCCAGCATGGCCAGAGCCTGGCCTGGCGACAGTCAGGAACTGTCCCAGATGAGGACTGTCCATCCCCGTGGCCTTCCACAGCCCCTCGGCGTCTGCTGGGACCCACGCTGGTGCCATCATCTCATGGGGCATGTTTGTCACCGGACTCCTCCCCACTGACTGCTGGCCAGATCTGGCCCCCAGGACAGTGCCCCGCCCCTATTCCCAAGGCTGTGACTCAGGGCAGCACTTAACAGCCCAGGACTCTGGGTGCCGAGGGCCCTCAAGGCAATGCGCCTTCTCACCCAGAGGGTGGCTGCTCCTGTCCACTGGGGGGGGCCTGGATGGGGAGGTAGTGGTGTCTGGGCTGTGGCAGTCAGGAACCTCCCCCCCACCCCATGTCGTCTTCCCTTCTGAAATCCTAATCGAGGAAAGAGAAGGCTGAGGGGAAGAAGGGCAGTGACCACAGGTCCCAGTGACAGGAAGGAGCAGCTGCAGTGACCCCAGCTGAGCCCCTCTGGTCAGAAAAGGCGGGGGGGGGGTGTCTCACCCCCATCAGCCCAGCCCCCACTCTCACCTGGAGAACACCGGCAGGCAGCCAGCTATGGGCCTGGCAGTGCACAGGTACTGCCAAAGCCTCCCAGTCGCACCCCTGGGCATCCTAGGGTGGGAGCCCTTCAGCTCTCAGGGCATCCCCCAGGAGGCCGGCCTGCCCCACACTCCCCTCCAGAGACTGTGGACTGTTTTATTCAAGGTCTGGCAGCTCAGGAGTGGTGGACGGGTGACCTAAGGGGTATGTGTATGACCTGCTCCCCCCTCTGCCGCTCCCACTGTCTGAACCTTGGTCCATGTAAGTCAAGCCCACCCTACTCACATTCCACAGCCACTTGCTGGCCAAAATGACCCCAGACCCCACCCACTGCCCCACCTGGAGTTCCTCCTCGCCCAGGGGCTCTGCAGGACAGAGCAGGTGCTCCTGAGGGGTTTGAGACCATTCACTCTTCACGGGCACAGAATGCCTCCTCTTTCTCTCAAGGAGTGGCTGGTGGGCCCAAACTGCCAAACCAGTGGTTAGCAGTCTTCTGCTCAACCCACCATGCTGTCGGGGGCCCTGCCCACTGGCTAAACTCCTTCCTGGCTTTTCTATCCCTAGATTTCCTTTCCCCAGCTCCATCTGCACCGGTCCCACGGCAAGCTTAAGGTACCTTGGCCAGGCTGAGCAACAAAGCCGCCAGAGTTATCAAAATCCCACAGCCACCCAGCCGATGCCAAACCAGGCAACCCTACGGGACAGGGCAGAAACAGCCCCGGTGGGTTTCCGAGATGGACACTCAGCCAGGGACTCTCCCAAAGCAGTGCCAGGCTCCTATGATCTGGCCTGACTTTCGCCACTCCCACTGCTGGCCCCTCCCTGCCCTGGTGACCCCTTGCTCAACCACCAGGCCAGCACAGACCTGGTGGACGTATGTCCGTCCCCACAGAAGCCCTCAGGACCGCAGTGTCACCTGGAAACAAGGTCACTACAGATAGAATCGAGGCCACACTCGGGCCACGCTCATCCCATGTGAGGTCATCGCCCGTGGCGGTGAGTGAACTCTGGGGAAGAGTCCTGAATGGCCAAGTGTGTCTCGGAAGAAGTACGGCCAGAATGCTCCTGAGAAGAAAGGATGGAGAGGCTTGGTCTCGTGTTCTTCGGACACGTTAGGAGAGACGAGTCAGTCCCTGGAGAAGGACATCATGCTTGGGAATGTGGAAGGTCAGTGAAAAAGAGGATGGCCCTCAGCGAGACAGACTGACCCCATGGCTACCACGATGGGCTCAAACATGAGGACAATTGTAAGGACGGCGCAAGACTGGGCGGTGTCTTGTTTGGTTGTACATGGGGTACGTCAAACCGCCTCATAGGCACCTAATAACTGAAATGGGGTCCCCCAGAATCCCGCCAGAGGATCCCCTAGCCAACCTGCCCATTTAGAATTAGAGCCCCACCCCAACCCCCGCCTCTCATGGCAGACCGTGCCTTGATCCCTCCCCCAGCCCAGGACAGAATCCTGGTACCACCCTCAGCCCCTCCCGCCCGCTCCATCAGCAATTGACTCCGCTTTCAAAGTGTGTCCGCTCCAATTCCAGCCAGCTATCCGACCCCAGCTGCTCCAGGTTCAGACACACACACACACACACACACACCTGTCCCTGGTGTCCAGTCAGACAATTTCTTTCGAGGGGAGTGGCCACGGGAGTTGGGCGGGCAGGAGGGCAGCTCTGGGGGCTGGGCTATGGGTGCACATCCTGTGGAAGCTCCTCCTACGGTCTACTGTGGCATTGTCCACGCATGGAAGACGTCATGCAAACATCGACTTTGAGGATGGGACACGCCCACACCTGCCACGGCCACGGTTCCACATGGGGCCGCAGTCCCTTCCATCTCTCACCTCGGGCACAGCCCAGGCAAAGCTCTCGTGGCTCTTC